TAAAGAGAAAGAGAGGAAGAGAGCTATAAACTGAGGTCTGGAGCAGAAAGTGGGGGTGGGGTGGAGTGGGGAAAGACTTGACTCCTGAGCTAGTTCTGCTCCCTTGGTCTTTGGTGGGACTTCTAGTAAACTAGTGACTTCTTAACATTTAAAAAAAATACAACATACCCTTTTTGGTGTAAAATTTGCTTATTCATACTATACAAATAATAAACTGTACTAATCTGTATATGTGACACGTTGGAAAGTACATCTGTTTCAAAATGAAAGGCATAAAGAAGCTTCTTACATGTCAGCGGCTGTCTGATTATTACTTTAGACAGTAATGTTAGTGGTATGTTAGGCAGGTAGTTCCTGTTCTGTGTCCTCAGGGGCTTCTCTGCAGACTGGCCTTAGAGCCTTGCTTCTTCCAATCCCGATGGCAGTGGACCAGCAGGACTCAGTCAAAATCATGCAGACTGTGGCCTGTGGGAAAAGCCTGCTTTAATATCTGTGGCTGCTTCCCCGTCACACACTGGCTGTGTCACAGCACCGAGAGACCAGCCCACTGCTGTGTGGTGCCTGTGTACATGGTGCCACAGCAGCACCTTGAGAAGACTAAAGGATTCTGATCAGTATTAATTGATCAGCTTTTGTACCCGAATTCCTTAGTTTAACTCCTTTTACAGCATTGGAGACACGGTCTAGTGCAGAGATAAACAGTTTTACCCCAAAACTGGTGTATTTAACCAGGTTAAATATCTGACCAGGTCAAAGGATCACATTAGCTGGGAACAGTACAAAATATGCTTATAAAGAAACGAGACTAATATTTATAAGATGGATAAATTTCTGGAGCACAGACCTGTTTGTTATTTTGTAGGTACCATTATCCCAAGGGTAACAATAACATCAGCTAATAGTAATTGAGGCACATACTTTACATATATTATTTAACCTCAGAATAGATCTGTACATGTGGGACCTATTAATCTATTTAGGAACTACTTGGGTGCCTGCGTGGTGGTGGAACTGTGAGGATAGTGTCCATGAAGACAAATCATGTCCATGAACTCTGACACAGCTTCAGGGTAGTGGGGAGCTGGATATGCCCCAAAGGACCAGACATGGCAGAATCATAATTGTGGTAAAGCAAGGTCCTCAGAGAGCTTACAGGGCGGAATGGGGTTAATTAGTGAATTCCTCTGGAAGGAAAGGGACACTTTAATTGAGATAAGACTTGGGAGAGTTAAGTGAGTACCTTTGGTGGGACATAGTATCCCTGGATAGTCCTTTGTACACAATTTTTTGTGTGCTTAGTGACTGTTTATGTGGCCTGTTCTCTCCCCAGATAGATCATAAAACACCTAGAATACAAACTCTTGTGCCTAATTTCTTCTGTGCTCTTTTACTACAACTAGCACAGAATAGGTCCCACTAAATGTTACTTGGCATGAGTTTATGAATGGATGGAGAAATGGTACCCACGTGGATGGGTAAAAGATGTAGAAAACATTCCAAGTTCCTTCCCTGTGATGCTTTAGGAATGTGAGTTATCAAACACTCATTGACTATCTAAGAGCATCTGTTAGCTCTTTTGAGATTGGGAATAAAATCAAACTCTAGCCCCTTGCCCTTTAAGGAGCATGGAATCTAATCTGTAGACTCCTAGGTGTTAAAAATAGCCAGATGAGCAGTTTTGAAGTACCTATTTGGCCAGAACACTTCTTTCTCCCACAGTTTGGTGGGTCAGGCTCCCCAAGAACAACATGTTGCACTGCTTGGGGTGGCCAGGCATGCAGGTGGCAGGGGCAGTCTGGAGAGCAGGTCCAAGAGGAAAGCCAGTTCAGCAGTAGCAGAAACCCCTGGCTGCTGAGATGCTCACCCGTTGTGGGGGCGGGGGAGAACTTGCTGACTGGTCTTTTCCTTGAGTGTCCTCACATAGAATCAGGATTTTACTAAGTGGTTGACAGTGCACGAGTCCTCCATCCCACACCTGCCTCTTAGCTCAAGTAATATTCGTCCATAGTCCAAGAACTCAATATCTCAGTAACTGCACCAACAGTTACACGTGGCTCTGCTACACAGCTCCATGAGTGAACTACTCTCTTCCTCTGGCCTTCGCTGTGTCCGGCAGAGATTTGTAGACATAACATCATTAATAGCAACACATACTTTTTTTTTTTTTTTTTTAAACACAAGATTTACCTATCAACACCCTACCTCCCTCCCTACCCCCAGTTGGAAATCATAGCTTCTTTAATGTCCTGCTGGCTATGTGAAAAACAGGAATTTATGTAACAAGCCCTGCACAGCAAACCTTTTCCTGTTCGGAAAATTTTTTTTTAATTGTTGGCAAAGTGAGAAGACAGCTCCGTTACTCAAACAGCGACCTGAAATGTCCTCTAAGAAAAATATGTAGCATAATGTTTTGATAAGTAAGTAAGGGAGTGCTGTGGATTTTTTTTTTTAAGTCCAAGTGGAGAATTACTGTCTGTCCCACCTGAGTTTGTGAATACTTCCTGAACTTTTAAAAGGTGGTCTTGTATTTTGGAGTCTTATTAAAAATGTTCCCCAGTTGTGCAGATGATCTGGTACATTATCTAAGTTGTAGAGTTTCTCTACCCCCCTCCCCAGGCGGTATAGACTGTGGGGAAGCCACTATCTAGGAAGATCTCCCCCCTTCATCCTTAAGTAAATGTGACAGAGACAGGAGTCAAGCTTCCTTTCCTTCAGAGATTTCATGGTAGCTTATCTATGTCTATTGTGTTCAAAGAACAAGATTGTCAAGATGGACTATTTTGCAAATGCTCCACCTTTCAGTGTATAGAGAAGGTCGCAGGGTCAGAGTACTTGGCTCCATTCCAGTGTGACCCGGGTCAGGCTGCTTCTTGACAGAGGACTTTAGAGCTTGGTTTTCCAGTACTGGTGGGCCCAGCAGATGAGGTTGCTGCCCTGATCCCATTCAAAGGTGTGTGCTATGCATAGGGCTTGGGAGTCTTTTGGTAGTAAAATAAGACATTAGGGAAATGCAGTGCTTGGCTTCCTTTAGAGATTCTTGTGTGGACTGAAAATCATCCTGAACACTTGTCTTAAGTTGGGGATAGTTTCTTAGGTGGGAAGGAAGAGGGAAGTTTGGGGAACAAAGGAAACTGCCACTGTCATCCACTTACATACCTGCCTGGCATACCGCCTGGAGTCGTGTTCAGGGCCCTGTTTGAGCAGCAGTCGTTGCCTGCCCTGGCCCAGGGGCCTGTTACATAGCTGCTGTGTCGCAATCCTTGGGTGGAATATAGTGCAGAGAGAGGGTCAGAGGATGTTTTGAAACGTGGATTTCTTAGCCCTGACAGTCTCTCCTCACTGACTTTTGCATCTCCTTATAAAAAGTGAGGGTTTTGTTTTCTACCTCCTTTAATCAGCTGAACGCATGGTTTGTGTTAGAGACCCAGCGTTGTCCTGCATGCAAAGGCTTTGTTCTGGTGCAAATGATTGACATCCAGGCATCTGTATTCGTGGATGACTGCAAATCTAGCTAGACCTTTTTTGTGGTCAGGGAGAGAGAGGGCCACAGGGGCCGAGGGTCTCAGGCAGCTAGCTGAGCCTTGCATCTAATTGGCAGAGGTGGCTGGGGAAGTCCGGAGACAGGTACACAGCCCTGACCCCTAGAATCAAGAACCCCCTTACTCTCACATGTAGACTTGGGGAAGGGCCCTAAGGACAGAGGCTACTGAAGTGAGCAGTAGCGAGCAGGCAGAGAGACTCTGCCACATTGCCTGTCTTGTGCTGGGGACAAAAAGGCAAAGCCCCTCCTTTTGAAGGAATTCACTTTTGTTTCTCATGTGTCCCTGAGGCATTATGGATGCTGGAAATCTTGTGTATCCAGTAAGAAAATCAAGTTGGGGTTCATTTGTTTGCAGCCTGACTCCACTGCTTCTAGTGGAGCCAGGAAGACTGTCGCTGGCCCCGTTCACCTAGTGTTTGGAGCTGTGTGTCTGTGTCTATGTCTTTAAGCATGTACCACATTCCTGGGAAGAGGAGGAGAGAAACGGCACTTCGGATAGTGACGTTCTGTGCCCGCAGAGTCAGAAACTAATAACTTCTTCTGGCAACTGCTTAGCATGTGCCAGATAGACTGAGCATTTTACTATGTCTCAGCATATCTTACTGTCAGGAAACAGGTATACAGGGCCCAAGCACTTGACCATGTTACCAGTGAGGAGCCGAGCCAAATAATTGCTCAAAATAAGTCACCTTACTTCACTAACTATCTTGCTGTTATGTGTGGTACAGGGAGCCATGGCGTCTTGGAGGACCCTTTGTGCTCTATGCCACATTTCGGTTTGTTAGTACATAGCACTGGCTATTTTGGGGAGCAGGGCGGCAAGCAATTAAATTTTTATTTTTTTGTGATAGTGTTTCCTTTAAAAAAATAAAACATTCACCTGTATTTTCCTACTGTACTTTAAGGATGTAAATGAATCTAGGTCTTACTAGTTTTCAGACTTTTAGTTCTTGACTAGCCTACTCATTTCTTTGTTTTCCATAATCATGTAGGAACCATAATAGAACACTTTGTGTAAATGGTGCATGTGCAACCTGGAGAGAATTGGCAATAGTTTTAGGGGATAATAGATGCAAAGGGGTTTTGATACACTTTGTCATAGAGGACTATTTACATATCATCGTAACTAAGCAAAATTCAAGTGGTTTATAAAACAAGCTTCTGTAATTTCCCTGTGAAATACAGCTTATAAAAGGTGTTTGTGTTTGTGATACTTATTTAGTTGTATCCCCTCATTAAATTAAGATGCAGATAACTGTGTTTTAAGATAAGATACTATTTTTCCTGTACCAATTTGAGTTCTTTTATAGTGGCGTTCAGAACATCATGACGATTCAGGCCAAAAATTATATCATAAACTGTGAAAGTTTTACATGTCTTTCATGTAATATCTATGTCAAACAGTCACTTTTCCAAGAGAAAGGTATTTTTATTTTTAACGTGATGTTTTGCTTTACAGAATTCAATTCGTCACAATCTGTCACTACACAGCAAATTCATTCGTGTGCAGAATGAAGGAACTGGGAAAAGTTCTTGGTGGATGCTCAATCCAGAGGGAGGCAAGAGTGGGAAATCCCCCAGGAGAAGAGCTGCCTCGATGGACAACAACAGTAAGTTTGCTAAGAGCCGAGGCCGAGCTGCCAAGAAAAAAGCATCCCTCCAGTCCGGCCAGGAGGGTGCCGGGGACAGCCCTGGATCTCAGTTTTCTAAGTGGCCTGCAAGCCCTGGCTCTCACAGCAATGATGATTTTGATAACTGGAGTACATTTCGCCCTCGAACTAGCTCAAATGCTAGTACTATTAGTGGGAGACTTTCCCCTATCATGACAGAACAGGATGACCTTGGAGATGGGGATGTACATTCTATGGTGTACCCACCGTCTGCTGCAAAGATGACTTCCACTCTGCCCAGTCTGTCTGAGATAAGCAATCCTGAAAACATGGAAAACCTTTTGGATAATCTCAACCTTCTCTCGTCACCAACGTCATTGACTGTTTCGACCCAGTCTTCACCTGGCACCATGATGCAGCAGACGCCATGCTACTCATTTGCACCGCCAAACACCAGTCTGAATTCACCCAGCCCAAACTACCAAAAATACACATATGGCCAATCCAGCATGAGCCCTTTGCCCCAAATGCCTATGCAAACTCTTCAGGACAACAAATCGAGCTATGGAGGTATGACTCAGTATAACTGTGCACCGGGGCTTTTGAAAGAGTTACTCACTTCAGACTCTCCTCCCCACAATGACATTATGACACCAGTTGATCCTGGGGTGGCCCAACCCAACAGCCGAGTTCTTGGGCAGAATGTGTTGATGGGCCCTAATTCGGTCATGCCATCCTATGGCAGCCAGGCATCTCATAACAAAATGATGACTCCCAGCTCCCACACTCACCCTGGACATGCTCAGCCAACATCTGTGGTTAATGGGCGTGCCTTGCCCCATGCGGTAAACACCATGCCCCACACCTCGGGTCTGAACCGCTTGGGCCCAGTGAAGACATCTTTACAAGTGCCTCTGCCTCACCCCATGCAGATGAATGCGTTGGGGGGCTACTCCTCAGTGAGCAGCTGCAACGGCTACGGCAGGGTGGGCATTCTCCACCAGGAGAAGCTCCCGAGCGACTTGGACGGCATGTTTATTGAGCGCTTGGACTGTGACATGGAGTCCATCATTCGGAATGACCTCATGGATGGAGATACTTTGGATTTTAACTTTGACAATGTGTTGCCCAACCAAAGTTTTCCGCACAGTGTCAAGACGACAACACACAGCTGGGTGTCAGGCTAAGGGTTAGTGAGCAGGTAAGTTCACTCCAGTATCAAAACGCTTCTGAGAATAGAGCGTAAAGGAGAGGAGCATGGCCATATGCTGTGTCTTTAATGGCTGGGACTTGTTATGCTGTCCCTTAACAGAGTCATCTCGTATCATTGATTCTCTGCCCTTTTGCAGCATGTAAATTTTCCTTTGGAGTTAAACCATAAGGAAACTTCTTAGAACTACTTTAAAAGATTTACTTTTGACAGTTGGATGACTGCATCTCTTTATTAGTAGTTCTTCAGTAGCTGAATATGTTTTATACAAATCAAATACTAAAGGTTTTTTTTTTAGTATATTTTTCCCCATTGAATGATTTGAGCTGTTTGAGAAGCACTAGCTTTTTTTTTTTTTATACCCTTGAGTATGCCTGTCACTGTAATATGTTAAGCTGAATTGGTTTTAATTTGGCTATATTTTCATTTTTTGTGTGTCTTTTTTCCTAGGCTACACTTAAAAGTACTTCAAATTGTCTGACAGCAGGAACTGAGAGAAGCAGTCCAAAGATGTCCTTCACCCCTCTTTTTCATTTTCTTGATTTAAAAAAAAAAAGTTTCTTTTTTCCTTTCGTCAGACTTGGCAGCGAAGACACTTTTCCTGTACAGGATGTTTGCCCGATGTTTGCAGGTTATGTGCTGCTGTAGATAAGGACTGTGCCATTGGAAATTTCATTACAATGAAGTGCCAAACTCACTACACCATATAATTGCAGAAAAGACTTTTGGATCCTGGTGTGCTTTCAAGTTTTGTATATAAGCAGTAGCTACAGAATTGTATTTGTGTGTGTGTGTGTGTGTATGTGTGTGTGTGTTTTTTAAATATCCATTTGGTCCAAGGAAAGTTTGTATTCTTTTTGTAATACTGTGATGGTCTCATGTCCTCGATAAGTTAAACTTTTGTTTGTACTACCTGTGTTCTACTGAACTGATGAATCACGAAGAATCAAGCTCTCCATACTGCACCTCCGTTGAACAGTTTTGGACCTGTTCACATTGCCACATAATTTACATGAGAACCAATAGCCTGTTATCAATCTGCTGAATCAACGGACTTGTCAAACTCTTGAAGAAAAGAAAAATAATTAAATGCCAGCCTTGTACAGGTCTTTTCTATTTTTTTGTTTGTTTATTTTGTTATTTGCAAATTTGTACAAACATTTAAATGGTTCTAAATTCCAGATAAATGATTTTTGATGTTATTGTTGGGACTTGAGATCATTTTTGGAATAGATATTGAACTGTAATGTTTTCTTAAAACTAGAGTCTACTTTGTTACATAGTCTGCTTGTAAATTTGTGGAATCCCAGATATTTGAGGCAGCATCCATAATTTTCATTTTGTATTTCTAACTGGATTAGTACTAATTTTATACGTGCTTAACTGGTTTGTACACTTTGGGATGTTACTTGGTGATGTTTCTGACTAATCTTAAAAATCATTGTAATTAATACTTGCATACTCAACATTTCTGGCCCTATTTTGGCAGGAGAGTGATATGTAGCTATAAACATTTCGCATTTCATGTTTAGGAAAATTTAATATGGTTTTTTACATGTATTTTAAAGAAACTCCATCAGCTTCCATTGTCTCTGTGAACCAAGCACACTGCATAGCGTTGAGGCCTCTTATAGACGGCTGTACGCTGTGTGTGGTGCAGGTTCCTCCTGGAAGGCCTAGTAATGTTTGTAGATCAGAACTGGCAATGGGGGGTGGGGTGTCTGCATCTAAAACATTGCTCAAACTGGGGTTGATTATTATTTTTTTGACCAACTTAAATTTTTAGAGGTGAGTTCAGCAGAGTCTCCCCCCCTCAGATTCCTGTGCTCTTGTTTCAGTCCAGGTGGAGAACTCTGCAGGATCATGTGAACACTCACCCTTCTCACCCTCCCCCCCCACCCCGCAGAGTACTTAGCATGCTGTGGAAATGTAAGTCAAAGGGAGAATTTTTTAAATGGAACTTCGGTGATTTGTAGAATGCTCTATGTTCATGAGTGCAGGCGGCTCCAAATGGAATAGAAGTTGTTTTAAATTGGGGCAGTTAATTTGAAAACCAATAAACCAGTTGTAAGTTGTATATTTGAATGTATTTTAAAAGCCTTTACATACATTAAAATTGGAGACTTTCTTTTAACCTTTAATAATATAAACTGTAATTTTTATTATTATGATTTAAAATTTCTCAATTACAAGTAACTGAGAGACCAAATTAATTGGCTTTGCCTCCCATTTAATGCATTAATATTTTCAAGTCACCTGGAATGTCCAAAGTGGAACAGGTGCACAAAAATGTTCCACTTGCCTTCTTGAGGGCTCTGATTTCTGTGCACTTAGCTGAAGCCACACTTACTTTGTCTTGCATGTGAATTGCATCTCTTCGATTGGATTTTCATACATATTTAACAAGAAAGCAAGTGTAGCTGATAGATTTCCTATAGGAGGCCAGTTCTATTGTAAACTTTCCACCATGACTTCTACCATTTTGAAATTTCATTAAACAGACACCTCTCTGACCGTCCTCGTTGTTGGCTACTCCAAAATGTTTGGTTTTAGAAACCTTAGTTTCTCTGAGCAGGGCCTCTTGTGCAGGTGATAAAACATGTTGGTGCCAGAGTACTCACATTCATTCCTGTTATCCAGTGCTACCACTCCTCCTTGGGTACCCTAACGCAGAAGCTGCCCAGCCCTTCACCAGGGAGGCAGCTATAGCTGAAATCATGGTTAAAATCTTGCTGACTTTTTTGAGTGACTTTAAAACATCTCTTCCTACTGAGTCTGTAAATATATATTTTTATCCCTTCAATTTTTTCTTTGTGTTGAAATTCTAAACATGAATCCTGGGTAGCTCTCCTGGGGTACAGTGAAGTCCAGTGAAAAGCACCTTGTCTATTTTGAAAACATTATGTGACCTCTTGTAATTCTTTTTCTGTACGAATACTGACATTCTGGAGTAATTAGTATATCAGTTATTGTACATGATTGCTTTGTGAAATGTGCAGATGATATCACCTATGCAGCCTTGTTTGATTTATTTCCTCTGGTTTGTACTGTTATTAAAAGCATATTGTATTATAGAGCTATTCAGATATTTTAAATATAAAGTATTGTTTGCGTAATATAAACGTATGGAATATATTTAGGTAATAGATGCATTACTTGGGAAGTTCTGCTTTGACAACTGACAAAGTCTAAATTAGCAAATGGTGTGTCCCAGTGAGCAGTAGTAAATGGAACATCCCAAGAAGAGGAGAAAGGACACTTAAAATGGAAACAGTTATCCAATTTGGACTTGTTCAACTGTTGGATATATGTTACCAGTCTCCCCTCCCTCCCAACCTCACCCCTTTCTTGAAATTCTTACAAGTTCTTAATTTATAACTGACTTTGAACCAAGAAGTTTCTCTTGTGGGTTTAGTTCGGGAGTAATCATTCAGTAAAACATACAGTGTGGTTTATGCAAACAAAACCTGGCATTACTCTTGGCCTCCTCCTTGAGCGTGGTGCACTGCTTGGCAGTGTGGCCGGGGTAGCCACCGAAGCCTGGTTAGGACATAGTCACGCCCGCCAAGCATTTTGCTACTCAAGTTTAGTAACAGTGCAGATTCCATGTTCCTGTTCCGATCCTCTCTGAGAAGTGCCTGATGATGCTGATGTACTTACAGACACAAGAACAATCTTTGCTTTTACTGTATAAAGCCATAAATGTACATAAATTAAGTTCAGTGCTTTGGTGTCTTTCTTTCCTAATTGTGCAAAATAAGCTCTTTGGATTTTAAAAAGTTCAGCTATCACTTGGGTTAAACCTTGTCAGCCACAGTGCCATGGTTTATCAAATCTGGAATTTCCTTTGGAGGGCGGGAGGAAGGAAACAGTTCATCTGGGACCAAACCATAGCCCAAAAGAGTTGGAGACCTAGTGAAATCCCTGATAACAGACAACCCCGGAGGACTTCATCTTTGGAATGTCTGAGCCTACATCCGGTGTAGTGATTACTTTAAGCTTGCTAAGTCCTCTGACAGAACAGACCTATGCTAAACAACATGAACAGTAAGTGAGGGCCTTGCTAGGAGGTCTCTGAATAGGCACAGGGTGGGCTGGAGGGAGCATTTGCCTGACACTGCGTCACACCTGCTGAAGGCGGAGAATTGGATCCTCCTTACATGCAGTTTGGAGGTTTATATGTTTTTTTTTTTTTTTTCTTCCAGAAACTGCCCAAGGAATGAGCTAAAATTAGTTTCATGTGGTTAAAATACATTTTAAAATCAGGTCATTCCCAGTCTTCTTGCATCTAACCCTTGTACCTTGTGTGCTGGAGTAGCAACAAAGAAATATCTGTTCATACACCAGAAGGTCAGTCTGTATTTCAGGGTGGTTTTTATTTCCCTTTACAGAAATGTAATCCTTTCTTGAGAAGACATGGTAGAAGTGCAGAGTATAGAACCGTAAAAGCATCTATTCCCAGGCCTTGTGGCTCATGCATAGATCTCTAAAACTGCTCATCTAGGGTAAATGCAGCAAACCAGTTTGATTGTACTCCCAGAACTTAAGCCATCAGGCTCCTTTCCTAAACCCTCTGTACACATACACAGCACTCTAGTGTCACTTTTTAAAACCAGCTCTTAAGTTTTGCATTACTTGATAAGAGGAAGCAACACAGCAGGAAAGTTCCTGATAGGTCCAGTGGGCGGAGCTCAGTGCTTAGTGTAGAGGGAGGGGCTTCCTTCCTTGGACAGTGTCGGGGCCCCTGCTGTGAGAAATGTGAGAAATGACAGTAGAATCGGAATGTGTACCCAGGATATGTTTCTTGACCTGTGAACCGACCATTCTGAAGGACGTCGCCTTGGCTATTGTTTCTCCATGTTTGAGCTGATCTATAACCATGGTGTGCTGGTTAAATTTAAACTAGTGTGGGGCCTCCCTGGTGGCACAGCAGGTTAAAACCACAGCACTGGGTCGCTGAAGCCACTTCATCATGAGTTCAAACCCTACCCTGGAGGTGATTACATGGTGCGGCAGACCTCTCCTGACCCACCTGCTGCTCCCCTCAGCAGTGTACTTAATTGGTCTGCCTTTTCTGCTCCCCACTCTATCTCTGGTGAATCCTCTCACCGCCCCTGTACCCCAGTTCTGTATGCATAAATAAATACATCTTAGAATTTTTTTTTTAAATTGGTTGAGGTGGCTAGGTAGGTGGAGTGCCATTTCAAGAGATGCCACACTAAGTGGCAGTCTCTGAAGCTGTCACCTATACATTGAGCCTTGTCTCATCTGTGAGTGCTCATTACAGGCCCATTTACCTGCCTCTGGGCTGGGCAGTAACCTTCACAATGAACCTTCTATTCATGGTAGGTGTCCTCATTCTGATATACTGTCAGTATAAAAAAGTTAGACTTGTGGTAACTTACAAGCACTTAAACATCTTAAAAAGGGTGTTCTCCAGTTTAAGAAACTGAAAAATGAGCAAAGCTTTCCATGGCATGGAAAAGGCTTGAAAGGAGGAAGAAGATGGGTAGTCCTGGGTGCTTATGAGAAGTACACTGGGCCATGAAACGGAGGCCGATGCATGGGAGCTGTAGGTCTGTGTGTCCTGCCTCAGGAGGAAGCTCCAGAGTGGCATGAACACCCACCAGTGTTCTAAAAAAGAACTTTGGGTTTTGCGGGTGGTTCTGAGTTTTTCAGTGTGGACTCCTGGTTTTGGCAAGAAGAGGAGGAAGCCCCACACTGGAGGGCACTCGCCTGTTACGGGAAGAAAATAAGGATAAGGGCCAACTTTTCTTAGTGTGACTAGTGGTAGGACACTTCACTCTCCCCATGTGGGGGTAAATAAACTCGAAGATTAGATGAAATTCCTTGGCATTAGGATCTTTATTATGTTTGCATCTTCCAAAAGGGAAAGATTGACCTGCTTTGTACGCCATTGGTGGATAGTAGATACTTCATTTTTCTGGGAGAAGAGGCAACTTTGTAAGTGCTGTTAATTCTTTAGAGCGTATTATTTTGCTAAGTTCCAGTCTCCTATATACAACTTGCAGAGTTCCCGTGCAGATAGTAGCGTGTTCTTGTTCTGCTGGAGTGTCTGTATAATCTTGGGACTATCGCACCACCAAAACTGCCTCAGAAAGACAGCTGCTTAGAATAGAACTCACTTTATGCTAGGTTTTTCTGATGAATGTGGTCGAAAGGAAGTACATTTTACACTTGAGTGCATGGTTCCATTATAAGCCAGAGATGCCGCTGCTTTGTTGATGGCAGGGAAACTTGGAGTTGGCCAAGCAGTAAGCCTCTCCGATGCTTAGGCAGTGATTTCCTTGCAGATAAAGTTCGCTGAGGATACTTTCTGCTACCTGCCTCACAGGTCTGATGTGAGGATTAGAGGATGAGATAATGTCTGCTGTGGCTTCCTGTGTCAGGGAGAGAGACTACATACGAATCGGTGTCAGTGTAGGTAATAGTAGGCCTTGGGGATTTATTTTCTTAGTGGGGCTTTTGGATTGTCAGCATTTCCCTGCAAGAGAGTAGGGCAGCTTCTTGCCTGTGTTCTGATGCTTTTCTGCAGTCCTCCTAAGGTAAGTGCATACACAGCCTGTCAGACTCCGACCTCTCGGTATCTCTAGCAGTACTTAGTCTAAGTTGTAAACCCATTGTGTGCACAGTACAGACTGACTGCAGTATGTATTTCTCTTGAAGTTCTCCCTGGACCAAGGAAATTTGGTTATTTAATTTTAGGTTGTTTGATCTTGCTCTAGTCATGTTTATTAGATAGGTTGAAGGGAGCCAAATCCATGTGCTGTTTTTAGACCATCATGTAAAATTGGGGCTGATGCTGGAGTTGCAATATAGGCTGGAGTCTTTCATCAGAACTGATTTCACATCCACTGTTATTAACAAATGAGATTATAATTAAATAAGATATTAAAGGTAGTAAATACTCAATTCATATCAGAATGAACTACATTTCATTCACATAAGTTGTATTTGCCAGTCAATGCAGATAATCTACATGGCAGGAATACTGGTTGGCTGAAGCAGAACAAGGTTTCAGTTTAATGAGTAAAATTTGAATGAGGGTGAGAAATAGTTTTACAGTAAATCGTGTTGGATATATTGTCAACATAAGCTAACTGAGAAGAGAGCTAGTAGGTTGGGCTGCCAATTATTCAAATCCTGGCTGAATTTCCCTTTTATACTGACGACACATAATAATTCAGTAAAAATCAATGAAAGCATTTTGTAAAAATCAATTGACCTGATAAGAGTTTACAGTAGAGTATTGAGTATTCTACTTGTAACTTACGTGCTAGTCATCCTTTGTATCAGTAAGTTTGCATGAATGGACAGATACCCAGACATCTGTTATTTCCCTGCAAAGCAGGCTGTTAAATACCTGTACACCACTGACTGGGTGGAAGGAGGCCTCACAGGGCTGGGAGTTTGAGTGGCACAGAAGAACAGGTAAGGTGGAAATAAGGGAAAGAAAGAACAGGAAATTATGAGGTAGAGGGTGTGGTCATGCTAGGGTGACTAAGGCAGTGAAGAAGGGGTCAGAATATCTCCAGAGTCGGGATCGCATGGGGCAAACAAATTAGATAGGTTGGAGGTAGCCAAATCCATGTGCTGTTTTTAGACCATCATGTAAAATTGGGGCTGATGCTGGAGTTGCAATATAGGCTGGAGTCTTTCATCAGAACTGATTTCACATCCACTGTTATTAACAAATAAGATTAGAGCCAGAGAAGGGGTGTGGGGTGGAGAGAGGGTCTCAAACTCAAGTGTCGTAACTTTGAGTGAAGGGAGAGATCAGGAGGCAAGTACAGGTATAGGTCCAGTGATGAGGAAAGGTCATCCTGAAGTAGCTGGATACCCTAAAGTATCCAGCTGGATGCCAACAGATGTTTAATTCACACATCTGAGGGTTGAAGAAGATCCTGGAGTTGGAATACAGAAGGAAACCAGTTCTGCTTTTGAGACTCATCATTGGTTTGTCAGGTGGGAATATACACTCACAGAGAAATGGGGAGTAAAGGGATTTGTCTATCACAGTGCCTAACACCTAGAAAAAGCTAAAAAAAAAAAGGTGACCAAATATGCTGGTTTGTCTGAGACAGGTTTGGGCAAACTGTGCCCAACACAATTTCAGCTGCTTTCATCATGCTGAATATTCAGGACCAGGTGCTTAGTTACATGTTCACCTTACCAGCAAATGACTTCTTTTCAGTTAATTACTTCCAAGAGCCCTCACCTCACCATGAACAGAAACCCCAGCAGATGAGAGGCTGGAGGCCTCTTCCAAAAGAGTGTTAGCTGGACATTTCATAGCACAGATTCCTTCCAGACCCTCCACTGTATTCTCAATCTCCAAGCATTCGTCACATCTCACATTTGTTTCCCTTTGTGCTTCCAGCCTTCACATGCTGGAAGATATGTCTTTTTGAAATGCTTCTCTCTTTTCTTTGTCAACCACAATACAGCTCAGAGCCCTTCACCACCCTCCAAGCCCACTTCAGTCCCTTGTAGTTACTTGCCCATGTGAGCTAGATGAGTTTCAGGACTCCTTGTCCAGACACGCGGCTGTGTTTAGCACCACATAAATAGTAGCCCATGGTAGATCTTCCGAGTCCTCTTAGAGCATCCTACCACAAGATTCAGAGCCAAGGCAGACTGACTGGTGTCATCACCAAGCTCCCTGTAACCCGCCCTGGGCAGTTGACCAC